AAGGAGAGGTCAAGTCTGCAATCAGAGTCAGGCATCTTCTGAAGGATGGATGGGGTTTCACAGCCTGAAGCCAGGCTCTCTCATTTTGCAGTGAGCAGCAGGGAAGGGGGAGAGGTTGGGGGTGTGTGACCACAGTAGCCACAACTAATTCTCCAAGTGAATGTCTGGGCACTTGGCAGTCTGCTAGCTAAAGATTCATAGGCCGTGCCCTCAGGGGGATTCCCATCAGTATGTGGGAGCTGCTGCAGGTATGATGTCTGAGCAGCAGTCTGGTTTGGATTCTAACAGGCCTGCAGCCAGATACCTGACAGAGCCTGGCAAATGGTGAGAGGGCATGTGGTGTTCTGAAGTCCCAGGTCAGGAAAATCAAGTGGCTTTAGACCTGGCAGGGAGCACAAAGGAAAAGTCTTAGCCCCTAGGATGGTGGGGAAGGTGATTTAAGATGCAAATGAGTATTATGAAGCCAGGATGAGGTGTTTTTATTGGGCTGGGACACCTTTTGTCTTCACCTTCCAGTTTAGGCAATGAGCTACCAGGGGGGCCTTGCTGGTCAATGGAGCCTGGGAACCCCCAGTTGCAGACAGTCCTGGGACCTCGCAGAAGGCTTTGATTTTCTGAGAAAACATGTCCTAAAGAGGCCCCAGTGGAAAGGACTGAGCCAGCAGTCAGGGCTTCACTTTGAGACCCTTGCAGCCTAGGTGTAGAGTTCTCTTTCTAGGGTGCTCCACCCCCGTCTGCCCTCCTGCAGAAGCTGTGCTGGGTCATGCAGAGGTTTGAGGATGGACATGGAGGCCCTCTTTTGCTGTGCTCCATGTCCTGGACATCAGCACACCACTACCTAGGCCAGGTCTCAGATTCCTTTTTCATCACCTTCTCGTTTTCTTTGTGTGCCTTGAGCCCCATTTTAGTTTCTGGTGTTGTAATGTGCACAGATCTGTTTGGAGGGCACCTGTGAACTGGGCTTACAGAGTAGAGAGGGAGGGACAAATGGTTAGAACAGATGGGGGGGGTTAGTGGCTGAAGAAGTGGACTCTAGAATTTGGAATCAAATTTGGTGGGAGACAGCAGCCAGCAGAAACAAATAACCCCTACAACACTTAGGAAAGTCAGATTAGCAGCTCGGTTCCTGGAAGGGAGCTCGTTTATGCCACTCCTAGGTTTCAGCACCAGATGAATGAAAAAATAAGAGGAGGATGACACGACTATTCCTAAAGCATGGAGATTTGTATTGTAGATATAAGGGAGGGAGAAAGCAGGCAGAGGGGAAGAGTCCACGCCGAGCATGGCTGGCAGACTAAACTGGGCTACGAGAGGAGAGGAGGCTAGAGAAGAGCCACCCACCGAGAGGGACAGCCAGGGCCCAGAGACCTCGAGGCGACTGTAGCCAAAATGACTAGGGGTGGGGGCAGAGGAGGAGCACAGAAGCCACGCCCCTGGGAGGGAGCCATCTAGGGGAGGCGCAGGGTGAGAAGTGCTGGGAAGAGCCACAAGTACTGCCTGATGATGGGGGAGGGGCCAGAGTCTGCTTCCGTATGCTAATGGACACCTCAGCCATGTGTCGAGAGTGTGAGATAGTGATAGAAACAGAGGCAGTTTATTAAGAAAGAAAAGGGCACTCCTGAGGCTGTCACCACACACTTCTGATCCTTTATGTTACCGACATAGCAACTGCCTTCCGCACTTGTATACTGTGGGCTTTTCTTTAGCATGGCCAGGTAGACTTCCCAGGTTTCTTTGCGGAGTGACATACACACGTCAGTCTTGATGCCTCTCTCTCCGTCTTGTTACTGTGCTGGCACAGCACCACCGTTTGCTATCCTCCTCGGCTCTGGGGAAGACCAACTTAGAGAGCAGCTCTGCTCAACCCCGATGCTATTTCATTTCCTGTTTTCTGTTCTCACTGGAAGCTTCTGCTTCTTGCCTCTTGCTGTCCCTGCTGTCTGCCCTGGGCCCTGCCACCTGCCCTGTCTTTAGTTAGGAATTATTGTTTCCTATATTTTTGGCTCAAAAAGGGTTGACCAGGGGTGTGCTAATAAAGACCTATTGCTAGGCTTCATCCTAGATGATCTGTGCTCAGTGCCAGAGCTGGAAGCCTCCAGCCTTCCCATCAGAGCCTTGCTCCAGTTGCTCCCAGGACAAGGGTCCCTCTTTACCTGGTGCCAGTTTCCAGTCTTGGTGGACTCTCCCAATGGACCCCTCATCCCCCTCCAATCACACCTTGTTTTTGTCCCTGAAGAAGTGGTGGCCCCTAAGGAGCTGGGATGGGCTGAGAGGCCACTGTGGAAGGGCCTAGGTATCAGAATGAAACAAGCAAGACCTGTCAGCTAGGTTCCCATCTTGCTGGACCACGGACCTCTCTTGAGGGAAGGAGACAAAAACTTCCACCTAGGACAGCAGGGCAGGCCCTGGCAGGGGTTCCTGAGAACAGCATCAGATAGCCGGGAGAGGGGACTAAAGCTTGAGAGACTGGCTAGTGATAGATAGCAAATCTTTGCTGTTGGGTCCATGTAAGCCGCTGCTCACTTGCACACCACTTTCTAGGATCCTGTCATTAGCTAGAGGAAGACTCTGTAGCTCACTACTACACTGCCCGGCACATAGTAGGCCCTCAATAAATATTTGTTGAATGAATGAGAGGCGATTCAAAGCCAAGAACAGATTTTTGAGTGTCTCTGAATCTTTCGTGTCATCATCTCCACAGGGGACCTAGGTCCAAGAGCTTTATGAGGTCTATGCCACCTGACAGGGCTGGTGATGGGACCTCACCTCAGAGCCTAGCTAACTGAGGCTCTGTGAGGGACATAGACACTCCCTTTAATACAGAGAGCTCTTGTCCCACTAGATCTTGGGGGTCCTGAGCTCCCCCACTCAGGAGCCAGTCAGCAGCTGCTGGGCTCCTCCATTGCTTCTTCGCTGCCATCCCAGACGTGGGTGCTCAGCGGGATCTGACTGTACTGAGTCGTCGACACTGACCTCTGCCTAAAGGCCAGTGCTCCGGATCCTGCTCCCTGCTCTCCGTTTGGACTTTATCTCCTGGCCACATGCCCCTTCTTTGCTATTCCTCAACAGGTCATCCTGATTCCTTTTCATTTAAGCTTTTTCTGGCTAAATTATCTTTAATTGACTGCAGTATCCATTCCCCAGTCACAGAGACTTGGCCTTTACAACACTGAGTGATAGGAATCTAGAAATGCCATTCTATCTTCTGTCTTGGACTTATACTTATGAAAGATTAAAAAGCAAAGCAAACCTCACCAAGCCCGCCCCTCCTAGCACTGCTGGGAAGCATCAGAGAGAAACCATCCTTTGTTCTCCTAGTGTCATGGAGAGGTAGCCAGGGCCCTTAGCACGCCTGCACCTTGTCCCAGCCTCCATCGTACATGAAAAAGCTGAGCTCCAGCAGAGAAGGTGGGCCTGGGAGGCGGATCTGGGATACAGTCCAAGCAGATTGCCAGATCCTGGCCCTCACCCTTGCAGGGGTCACATAGAGGCATTCGGTAGGTCACCTCATGAGGGATGAGAGGTTGCAGGGTTGGACAGGGGTTACAGAAGAGGTTCACTCAGCTTCCTGGGTCTCTGGCTCAAAGACAACCCTTAGGTGTCCCAAGGGGGCTCCACATATGTGCAACAGTCCCATCAACTGTCTTGCCTCAGGAAGCCTGGTGGGGGTGGAGAAGTGGGGGGTTGGGCATGCTATTTGTTGGTTAAGGAACATACTGGCCCCAACACCTGTGTACTGCCCACACTGTGAAAGGTTCAGAAGGCTCCAGCTTATCATTATTGACATAACAGAAGAAACAAATTTTTCTGACAATTCTAGACTCTGGGTCTTTTCTATGTAAGGTCAACTCCTATGTAAAAATTGCCCAATAAAACCCAGCCATTTCTGTCCATTCTTCAGTGAGGGCTGCATAAGGAATAAAGCATATTTGGTGGAAAACGTTCATTCCACAAAACTTTTGAATTTTGTGTGTCTTCCCTCCTCCCTCCCCTACCCCTACCCAAGAAGTTTCAGGCCCTGACCTGGATAAAGAAAATTTCAGTTCTGTAACCCATACTTTTTACTCTAAAAACTGTACTATACATTCTCTTTACTTAAAGGGAACGGAACCGACTCAGCGGGGAGCACTTGCCTAGTAGTCTTGAGGGCCTTGGTTTCATGCTGCCACCAAAAAAAGAAAAACTTTACCAAATCAGTAACTTGCCCCCCCCCCATAGAAGTTTTCAAAGTAGATTTACGCGAGCTTTAAAGTTCAGGAAAGGATATATATTCCCCACCACCACCAGCACTAGCCAGAGCCATGATCTAGCTGTGTGGTGACCTAGTCCCTTAGACAGTCCCAGAAAGTGACAAGGACAGAGCACAGCATACACAGCCAAGAGGCGGGAGTTCTCCTATCTCTGGGTCATGCTGTCACTGAGCACGAGGCTTGTAGTTTCAGAGCAGTGTTAACTATTCATCTGGAAGCAAGGGCCAAAGTTCTTGTCTGGGATAACGGTATAGTAAGTAGTGAGTAGGCAGTACAAGGATATGCTTTTCACAAATGTTGCACACACACACACAAAATCAGTCCTGCCTCCCCACCCAAGCCTCAAATAAAAAGGTGTTCTTGATTTCGTTGCTTTCTAATGGCATCATTGCCGTGCTATAGCTAACGACACGTGATCAGCAGAGCACAGAAAGCCAGTGACTGTTATAAGGATTCAGGCATTATGCTGGCCTACCTCTATCACCTGGACTGCACTCAGGCAGTACCCTGGTCAGCCCAGGGTTCCATGGAGGTGCAAAGGACCCTTTAAGAGAAAGACCCCACCCACTTAACGGTCTTTCTAACCTCTCTTTTCCTGCTCCTCCCTTTCCACTCTCTCCCGCTCTCCTCTTTAGTGCTGTTCCTCTAGGGCAGACCCGACTTTTTCTGTCTCCCTCTTCTTTCCTGTCCTCCCTCCCTCTGTCTGTCTCTTTACCTCTTTCCTCTTCCCTTCTCCCTTCCATCTCTGTTCCTAATTGGCCAACACCTGCCCCTCCCTTTGCTCCCTGTCCCAGTAAACTCCATGTGGGTTTGTTGAAGTTTTGTGTTTCATTGTGTTACATCGCGAAGCTGCACCTGCAGCAAAAACAATACCATTTTGGGTACTGTGACTCGGATAGGCTCTCCTAGTGCCTGCATTTCCTCTCCTGGTCTAAGCTGCACTGGGACCTTGTCCTCATCTCTAGTTCACTTGCAACAGACTCATCTTCCAGCTCCCCGACCACTCCCCCCCATCCACCAGCAGCATTGGCTGCTGCAGCAAAGCAACGACTGTGGGTTCTGGGCGGGGACTTCTTTCATTTCTGGCTGGCCTGGGCCAGAACCAGCAACATGGGCGAAGACTTTGGGCACTTTTGTAGGCATGAATGACAAAACCTGAAGAATCAGACTTCTGCGAGCCGGGCATGATGGCACACGCCTTTAGTCTAGCACAGGGGAGGCAGAGGCAGGAGGTGGCCAGCCTGGTCTACATAGTGAGTTCCAGGATAGCCAGGGCTATGTAGAGAGCCCCTCCACCCTCACTTGGGAAGAAAGGCAGGGAGAGAATCAGACTGCTGGGAGTGGCTTGATTCACAGAGGCATTGATCCGATGAGTTTCTGCCCTTGCCCCATCCAAATAGAGAGGCCCTGGGCTTTTTATTTTTCCTTAAGCGTCTATAGGTCCTGCCCCTCTTGGGATGAAATCCGAAGTCTCTGGAGCGAGGTGTCAGCCACTCCCCCACCCCCGTTTTCCTTGAACTCCCATTTCTACCTGGGGGCCCTGTGTTGTTTCCGCTTTGCACTAGTGTCCCCAAACTTCGCCATACCCTGCCCCTCCGCAGAAAGGCCCTCTCCAAACACCCCATCTGAAGTAGGGTTGCCCAACCCCATTTCAGTGACTTTTGCATGTCTTTCCTTCAGGGCACTTCAAGTTTTGTGCGTTTCTGTGCTAGCTAGTCTCTTCTGGTCCTATCAGTCAGTCTGTGTAACCAAGTCCTCTATAACATGCTCACAAGCGTTCGTTTAAGTGAGCTAGGAAGGGCCTTGGCCCTGGTGCTGGGTACCTGCCCTAGGTGCCGCCAGGGGTGTGTCAGGCGACCCACAAGGCCCAGCCTAGGCTAGCAGGGACGAAGGAAGGGCTTGTTTCTAAGTTTGTCCTGACCTGCAGAGGGCCCAGCTCTTAAGAAGGGGCAAGCCTCCTCCCCAGCTCTCTGGCCCTGCTGCGGGAAGCAGCGGCACTGGTGCCAGACTGCCTTAGAAGCTCTGCAGTTGGCGGTTGGGGAAACGTTGGGAGCGAAGCGCCCAACCCCCCTCTTCACCCCATCTCCATGGATACCCACACTTCCCCCACCCACCAGTAACTAGGCGGCCTCTGGAGGCCTCCAGTGAGGACTGTGCAGCAGCCACTTACTGCGCTACCCCACCATGTCTGCTCACAGACCCTTCTCCAGAGAAGCGGTCAGTAGGACTAGGGAGGGGGTTGGGGGTTGGAATGTTTGTTGCCTGCTCAGACCTGCACTAGTATTTTTTGCAGCCCCACCCTCCTCTGTATGATCTGGTGAATGGCTGCCTAGCATAAGCCAGAGAGGGCCCAGAGGTTCCCCCTTGGGCCGTATTCCAGGTAACCTGAGGCCATTGCGTTGGGGACTGCTCCCCTCCCACACATCCGGTGCTTGTAGGTGCCTCCTTTTACTCTTTGCCTAGAAAACCGAAAACACTGCACAGACCTCTGCTTACCTTCTCCCCCAGACTGGACCATGCCTACGAGTGTCAGAGAGGCTGAGGGTGTAAGACCCTCTGTACAGGCCTGTAATTGTCCAGAGTCCCACAGGGTTGCAGCGTCTTTGGTTTGGCTGACCTGCAAGAAGACCCCCGGGGTACCAGCCACCTGAGACCACCTGGAGGAGCTGGCTTCTCCAGTGACTACAGGATGGAGGCCCATTCCTGTATCTTCCAGCATCTATGACTCATTATCTCAAATCCAGACCACTGGTCCCTGTGGTGTCAGGGACACTGCGACCAGTGGTTCCAACACTTGCCTGGGACACATAGCAGCCGCACTCACAACTCTAGTCTGGAATATTGTATTTCTAGTCAATTTTTGTCCCAGAAAAAAATGATAAAACACCAAGAAAACCAAAAAACAAAGCAAAACACACAGACCAGGTCAAATCCTTCTTAGGGCTGCTCAGACTCTCTGGCTGGGAGAGAATAGAAGCGAACCAAAGCACTTCCTGAGGGTTAGAGCTGGAGGGAGCAAAGGCTCTACTGCTGTGTGAAGCTCAGTGTGGACCCAGGCTACATGACCTGCTCGAGTAGTGTGTGTGTGTGTGTGTGTGTGTGTGTGTGTGTGTGAGAGAGAGAGAGAGAGAGAGAGAGAGAGAGAGAGAGAGAGAGAGAGAGAGAGAGAGAGAGAGAGAGAGAGAGAGAGGAGAGAGAGAGAGGAGGGAGGAGAGAGAGGGCACCAGCCTGCGTGCAGCTGGAGTTAGGGCAGTTGTGAACAGCCAGGTGGGTACTGGAAACACTGAGCCTCTGGAAGGGCAGCAGGTGCAGTCATACTTAAAAAAAAAAACCAAACCCACACTGATCCTCGCTCAGTCTGATAGCACATGCCTGCCATCCTAATACTTAGGAGGTTAAGGCCTTGTTTCAAAACAAATCCCTTAGATGAAGACAAAACAGAAGACAGTTCAGTGGTTACAAGCTGTGACCCAGCACTCAGGCAGGTTTACTGTTCCCAGGTCAGAGGGCATCTAGACAGGATGGACGGGGCCTAGAAAATCCCAAACTGCTCCCTTAGGAGTGTTTAAAGTTGTTACTTTTCTTTTCTCAGGGCCTATCCAGTCTTTACCAGTTCAATGTTTTGTTTCTATGAGAAGGAACTCAGCAACTTTCTAGACGCCTGCCTTCTCTGGTTATATTTCTTGAGGGTTCACCAGGATTTGAGAAGGACCGACAAGATGTATTATATACTTGACTGAAAATCTCAAAGACGGTTGAGTTGGCTGTAATGCATCCAGTACTCCAAGGCCCCTTCTGAGCAAGGGGACACTCCAAGCTCAGATAGCATGGTGAAACCCCAGTAAGTTCCCACTCCATTAGGGCTCCGGCTCTGATGGAGTGAGGTGATCTGATCTTTTTTGACTGGAAGGAGATTGCTCCCTTGAGAACCAAGGTAGACACTTAGGCTGCCATTCCTAAACCAAGAGGCTGAGCGAACTGGACCTCAAGAAATGGACACCAAAGAATAGATGGTTTTCCCAAGGAGGAAGGGGCAGAGAGGGCAGGCTCCCCACTCAGTATACCTGGGGAAGGTTCAGGGAGAGGCTCACTCCTCTGCCAGATTGCTACCTCACCCCATGCCCTCTTGGGCCCTCCTGTGAGCTTTGACTAGGTAGGCACAGGCACCTGGGGATAGGCAGCTGTGGGAAGACTTGCTCAGCTGCCTCTTGCTCCTAGTAGTATGCTGGCAAAAGCTGCAGCTGTCTTCCTACGTAGACACCAGCATTGCTCTGAGTTACAGGTAGGGCATGCCTGGAACTCGGAGGCTGCTGATAGAGCTAGCAGGGAAAGTTCCATCTTCTTGTTGGGAGTCACCCATGGGTGCTGGCAGTGCTGAAGGGTTGTCTGTCTGGAACCTATGTGTCTACCAGAGTCTTAGCCTTGGTCTTCCCTGTAACTCTCAAAAGAGGTATGAGTGAACCATATGTGAACTCTGAGACAGGAACTTTGGTGGCAGGAACAGCGTCAGGATGACAAATTGCTGAGAGCCTTTATCATTTATTACAGGAGTAGCAATTAATATTTAGGTATCAACCCACCAGAATTAGCTTCTGATGGAGAAAATGCCTGGGTGCTTTATATTCTCAAAAAGGCCCCAGAAAAAGGCGATCCCTCGTCACTGGGCGTTGGCAGTAAGAGCTTCAGCCTCCTGTCTCACACAGCCCCTTACTCCATTCACTCTTCTCCACATCTTGAGTTTAGCCGGACCGGACGCTTCACAAGTCACATCTCCCCTCTGAGACATGAGGTGTCCTCCTTTTCTCAAGATCTTATCTGCCTACCTGGCTCTTGACAGATAAGCATGCTTGATATCCTTAATACTGTCAGAAAGTTAATTGTATTAGATATATAAGTTGGAAGTCTTGTGGAAAAAAAAAGAACTTTTAAAGATTTTTTTTGTTTTGTTTTGTTTTTCGAGACAGGGTTTCTCTATATTGCTTTGGAGGTTGTCCTGGAACTCCCTCTGTAGACCAGGCTGGTCTCGAACTCACAGAGATCCGCCTGCCTCTGCCTCCCGAGTGCTGGGATTAAAGGCGTGCGCCACCAACGCCCGGCGACCAACAGTGCTTTATTCATCAACCAATAGGACAACATATACACAGAAGGACTTCCCCCATCACCCCTCCACATACATCCCTTCCTCTACCCCAAGCCTCCTTTGTAGCCGTCTATGAGTGAAGAGCTCTCTGGTGGCTTCGCAGCAGGCACCAGCTGTGGGGCTCAGTGGGAGAAGGCTTTATGAACACACCTGAGTCCCCGGCTCCTGTCCCCAGCACTTGGAACAGTCAGTCCATGGGGAAAAGAGAAAGGACCCTTCATTCACATCAGTTTTCCAGATGCCAGTATCAGCTAATAAGCAAAGGGATCAGCTTGCTTGGGAAGGAGGCTGGAGGTAAAGGCTCTGCTGGCTCTTGATGCCTGTCTGTCTGTCCATACCCCCAGCCACATTGTCTCTTCTTCCTTGCTGCCTGTTTTTTGCTTCTTCATGACATCTATGCTGTCATCTTTACTTTCCAACCGCTGTGACATAAACAAAAAAGGACATTGCCCATTCTCTAAACCAGGTACCTGTGAAAAGTTATTTCCTCTGGGTATTTGCGCTTGCTTACAAACTTGAGAAGTACATTTACTCCAGAGTTCCTCTTGAATGTTGGGTCTTATAAGACAAGAGATTCATTAAGGCCAAGGGGCACATAAAAGGTCATACTCAGCAAAGATTCTGAACAGACTTGCCCTTCTTTCATGGAAGCCAAAGAGGAAGAGAAGATACAGGCACCCACCCCAGAGGACGCCCTGCAGAGGAGACAGGGATCTGGACGATGTTCCCGTATATCTTTTTTTTTTTGTAATATTTTTATTTAAATTAGAAACATGAATGCTTCACATGTCAATCCCAGCTCCCTCTCCCACCCCTCCTCCCTTGTCCCTCCACCAGCCCCTCAGCCCCCCACCCAATTCCCACATCATTCCCCAGGGAGGCCCTTCTTGGGGGGATCTCTAGAGTCTGTCATTTCATCCAGGGCAGGACCTAGGCCCTTCCCCATGTGTCCAGGCTGAGAGAGCATCCTCTATTTGGAATGGGCTCCCAAAGATCATTCATAAACCATGGTAAACACTGATCTACTACCCAAGATCCCAGTGATTTCTGTGGCCTCTTCACTGAGACTACATTCATGGAGTCTGGATCAGTCCCCGGTTGGCCTCTCAGGCATCAGTCTGGGATCCCGTATATCTTATATGTCTTACAGATGGGGAGTCATCAGCAAAGGCTCCCCAGACTGTGTCCTTACCCACTGGGATCTCTTGATCATGGGCCTAAGAAGGGAATTGCTGATACTTTTCTGCACACTGGTTAAATCACCACTGTACGCAGACTCTGCATGGGTTCAGAGATCAGACTGGTTTCTTACTGAGGGAAGCTTTGGAGGATAGTTCCCGTGTCATTTAAGTACTTCACAATTTCTGCTGAGAGTTGTCAATATAAAGACCTTCAGGAGAGCCCCCAGAAGCAACAGAGTTTCGCCAGGTATAGCAGAGAGCCCTTGCTGCTGTAGAGTCTAGCAAACAAGGGGTTAAATTTGAGGCCTCTGAAGGCAGAGTGGCATGTTCTGAGTACCTGGGATAGATGATTCTCCTAGGTCTGGCCTCCCATGGTTAAGGGTGGTGTGTAACATCTAATTCCACTTCAGACACTACCTCCTCCAGCCTGGCCATGGCATGGTCACTATCACAGGGGCTTCTGCAGGACAGAAGATATTGCTCCCAATTAGATATCCCTACCCAACTAGGGGTGACTTTAGGCCATTAAAGAGTTGCCTTATCTGTAAGGACACTGTTACAGGTGCTACTTGTTGCGACCTTGAGTGCTTGTCCTGATGGCTGTGCAGAGAGATCCAAGAGGAGAGGTGGATATTAAGAGCCACTGTTGGATAGTGGGCAGGCTAGTTGGCAAATGACAGACCAGCATGTGTCTGGAGCCTTGCTGGTCAAGGCTGAAAGGAACAGTGAGCTGAATGAAACCTGTTTTAGTTGGATGACACTGGTCTGAGACAGGACACAAGTAGTCTAGCAATTATCTGAGGACTAGATGGGACTATAATAGCACAGGCTTGTAATGGGCTGGTAGGCTTGGTTTATGAAGGTTCAGAGGGAAGTTTTAGAGTCCCTTAAAGATT